TTGTCGTGGTCAGGGATGCAGCTTGAAAACCCTTAAGCCTTCCTAGCGTTTATGGACAAACCGATCGATTTAGCGACCTTATTTGCCCATGATACCACGTATTGCAGATCACCAAAGCTTCGGGCTAGTCAGGCGATATCGTCACCGTAGTCGAAATCAGTCAGCTGGCGTCCGGTCGTAAACTCAACGCCGTCCTCTTCATGCACGACCTTCCCCAGGATCCAGTCAGTGGTGTAGTTCAACAGAATGGGCAGTAGGTTACAATTTTGTCGAGCGCCAGACCGAAAACAGAATGGTTGGGAGATATTGTCATGAAGGATAGTGTATGTTTTACTTCCTCGAGTACAAACTTCAGCACGTTCGAACAACATAGCTGGCTCGTAGGAATCGGTTTGGCAAACTCTCTTTGTTTACTGATACTTCTTGCTAGTGACGGATATTTTATTTCCACATAGTTTCTGACATGGCGGGACAATCTGCACCCGTTTTTCTCTCTATATCAACAGCTGAACTGAAATTAAGTCTTGTTCACGTTTCGCAGGTAAAGTACAATCAGACTCACTCAAAGGACCAGGGCATCGAACAGTTGGGTTCCTGGGACCCCTTTCCCAATAACATTTACGGCGAACAGCTCGTCGGGCTAAATGTGAACCGTATCTTCTTCTGGATGGCCCAGGGGGCAGAACCAACAAAGCGAGTTGCAGAACTGCTCGGCCTCGCAGGCGTCCTTCCAGTACATCCCCATAGTTACCTGGTTGCCCACAGGGCCCGCCTTGCTCTGGCCAAACGACTGCAAGAGAACCAAGAACAGGAGGCTAAAAAGGCAACCGAGGTGTCGGAGGAAGCAGTCTTGCCATCAGAAGAAAAAGAAGAAGCAAGCTCTCCCACGAAAGCTGATAGTGGAGGTGAGAGCGACGCCGAGGAAGATTTGCTCAACCGGCCTGATGCGCTTTGGCGTCGCCAGAGGTTTGCCCCCACCTGGTGGCGTCATGGCTTAGTATGAAGGATTTGTGTGCGCCTTTTTCTCATCCTTTCAAACTGAGCCCCTTTCACCTGTACAGTTACCTTCCGAGGGCCACTTTTTTCCCTTTTAGTTGCACAGAAAACTTAGTCATGGGTATTCTTACTACTTCATTCCTTTCTATTTTCTTAATATGGCATTCAGACGTATGAAAAGGTTGCCTCATCAAGACGCCGAAATTCAGGAACCTCCTAGGTAGAGCTGGGGTGCTAGCAGATAGCTTCTCTCGACTCCACGGTACGCCTGAATTCAATGTGCCATAATTTTGGGGTTGTCGTGCCCGTCTAGCTGAACTCACATCATTCTACTGAGTCACCTAGCGAGCGGCCTCCTTTATTTCGCCCACCGTATGGTTCCATCATATATTTTCTCTCTCAAACTGCACTCATGAAGCTTCCATAAAGCTTTCTTTGCTGCACTACTTTGTAGGGCGGGCATCAGAGTTGCACAATGTACTGAAGCATGACATGGCAAAATTTAAAATACACATCTGTGGTCATCGGTTGAGGCCTTGTAGGAAAAGAAAGTAATCTGGAGTAAGTTTACCCACAATCTCACTCTAAATTGTCTCTTGCCGTTGTGTGTGTGTCGTAGCCCACTGATGGATCAGGAGTCCCCGTCGGAATCAAAACTAGTAGTAGTTGGAAGACGGATAAAAGCCGAGACCTCGACCGGCTTGAGGCAAAGGTCCGCCGGGGTGAGTTGGGTGCCTGGCCGGGAACTGCAGGTGAACAGATGCTGACAGTCATGCGAAG